CCCCGCAGCTGGACTGGCGGCAGGTGCTGGTGCTGGGGCTGGACGGGGCGGGGAAGAGCAGCGTCCTGCACTACATCTGCAGCCAGACGGCCAGGGAGCGCATCGCACCCACCCGCGGCTTCAACTCTGCCCAGCTCTGCATTGAGGGGCTGGAGGTGGACCTGCTGGAGGGTAAGGCCGGCGTGGCCCCGCCGCGTCCCCCGGGGCTGAGCCTGCACGGTCCGGAGGGTCCCGCCACCTGCCGGCACTGGGCTGGGGGTGCAGAGCATCCCGGGCGGCGGGAGCATCCCGGGTGGTGGGAGCATCCTGAGCGGTGGGAGGTCTGGTTCCCCGGGGTGCTACAGGGAGGCGGCAGCCCCGCTCGCCCCCGCACGGGGGTCTGATCCTGCCCGTCTCCCGCAGTGGGGGGCAGCCAGAACCTGCGAGCGTACTGGCCCCACTACCTGAGCCAGGCCCATGTGCTGGTGTTCGTGGTGGACTCGGTGGACAGGTCGCGCCTGCTGACGGCGCGACAGGAGCTGCACGCGCTGCTGGCTGCGGAGCCCCGGCTGCCCCTGGTTGTGCTGGCCAATAAGCAGGTGGGTGTCCATCCGTCTGTCCCTGCAGCTGCCCCCGGGGCTGTTTGCAGCGAAACTGTCCCTCCCCAGCGCCCTGAGGGGAAATCCTGATACCCAAAATCCAACAGCTCTTGCAAAATCCGATTTCTTGGGGCCTGTCTCCAGTCTTTGTCAGGAGGTGTGGCTGCCATTACCGGTGCCCTGGCTAACGAGTTTTAGAGCACCCAGGCAGCAGCCTGCAAAATCCCCTAGGGGAAATACACTCCCCAGGCAGGTGGTCAGACGCATGCCTGGTGCTGCTTCCCATTAGCTTGTGCCAAAGCAACTCCAAAGCAAGAGCGAGGCAGCCCTGCCTGTGCACGATCCAGGCCAGGACCGCACGGGCAGGACGGGGCTCCTGCCAGCCAGCAGCGCTGCTCTGCACGATGCACGATCCAGGCCAGGACGCAGGACGGGGCTCCTGCCAGCCAGCAGCGCTGCTCCTGGCACTGCTCCCCTCCTGAGCGGCCGCCTCTCTCCCTCGCAGGATAAGAGCAACGCCCTGAGTGCGGCAGAGCTGCGGGAGGAGCTGGCCCTGCACACGCTCAGCGGGCAGCGGGAGCTCTTCCTCCTGCCTACCAGTGCGACCTGGGCCAGCCTGAGCACTGCCACCAGCGTCCTCCACGTGAAGAGCCTGCTGGTCACCCTGCTCTCCCAGCCCTGAGCCAGCACGGGGGGCGGACAGGCTCCCACCCCCGGCACAGCTCCTCTTCACGGTCTGCGGTGCAAGGATGGAGGCGGCCAGGCAGGAGCCCTGGAGCTCAGACTCGCTGGTAGCAGGCTGCCAGTCCTGGTGTTTGCTGTGCCCCACGAGGTTTGGGGTTGAGCTGCAGCATGGCTGGCCTCAGGGAACATGAGCAGCGGGCTCTGCTCTCTGCCAGGGGGAGAGGGCAGCCGCCTCCCCCAGTTCAGGGATGAAGCCTCCCTTGGGATGGTGTCACGAGCATGGCTCTTACCTCCTGGTGAGTGGGAACGTGCAGCACAGGGCAGGGCCCCGCACCTTCACGGCAGCCCTGCAGGATATTAAATGAATGGGGCTGAACAAGCGAGGTAGCCCTCTCACCCACCGGCACGGACAGGTCATCCCAGGAGATGGGCTCTCCTTCCTGAAAAACACAAGGAGCTACTGGCACACACCAGTGGGAATAACCAGCTCAGGCTGTCCCTCACCAGGGCTAAGCACAGCTCTCAATTCCCCCAACTGTTACTTAAAGCTCTGTTTAGGAGAGATGAAGGCAGGTATCGGGAAGCCCTGCACTGCCCTTTCACCCTGAACAGGGTTAAAGACGGGCTGTTTGGTAGGAGCTGCACTCAGCAGGCGTTTGCACCCCTGCCTGGTCTCCCTCCCTCTCAGCTGCCCCAGGAAGAAGGAGCCAGGCTCAGGGCCCGCAGGAAGCCCTGCCTGCAGGCAGAAGGGCTGCTGGGTCAGGCCATGGGGCGCTGGGTCCTGGAAAACCTATCGTGGAAGCTGGGGAGCACATCAGGGAAAGGGAGTACGCGCCGGCCAGTCTCTGCTGCGAAACCTTTTGTACAGTCGCTCCTTCCCTTTGTCAATAAAGGAGGCCGATCACTCTGCGCTGCACTCCAGCTCCTTGGCAGGGAAGGGGCCCCCAGCCCAGTCTTCTGAGCTGGAGGCAGGAAGGTCGCCTGGGGGGGGAAGGAAGCAGCACATGGCCCCGCTCCAGCCTCTGCTTACAGGGAAATCAGCAAAGGCCCAAGTGCTGCCTGCACCCCATGGGCCCCCAGCCCCGTTGCTGCAGGGGGTGACACACACCCGATGCCCATGTCCCGCGGGTTGGCACCAGGAGCTCTCTGAAGCGGGACTGCGCCAAGCGAAAGCCCATGAGCAAGACATTCACACCAACTTGAAAGAGTAATTTATTTTAACAAGGCAAAAGAAGTGCTGACTGCCACACAGAAAGGGAGCAGCACAGCACATTCAGTCCCAACGCCACAAGCCACAGCCAAGAGTTTTTCATGCCTGGTTATAACTGTCTCTGTCTAATGAAGGTCCTTCCTCCATCGCCAGAGGCTTTGCGTAGCTCAACGTGCTGGCGCTGAGGCTGTGACTGTCACCTGTCTGTCAGTCCCCGCTCCGCTCAGAAAATGGTCACGTCAAACCTGCACTTGCAGGCAAACCTGAGAAAAAAGGGCAGTCACTGCACGTCCATCTTTTCCTGCTTGAGAGATGCAATGAAATCCTTGTACTCCTCAGGATAGAAATTCTTGTACACATTGATCTTTCTCTTAATCTGCTTGGGAGTATCCTGGTAGTAGTTCTTCTCATCTCGAGCCATTTCCTGTGACAAAGGAGAGGGTAAGTCAGAGGAGTGGCCCCAAGGCCAAACACCAGCCCAGCCATGCTCCAAAGGCCCACCCAGGCCAGCTGGGATCACTGCCTGACTCGGACAGGGATCTGGCCAAGGTTCAATGCGCTGCTTCCCCTTAACAATCAGCTGACTGCAAAACAGGATCCAGGACAGAGAGGATTAGCAATTCCCATCCTGCAGAAGATGGGAGCCGGCAGTGTGCCCAGGCGGCCAAGAAGGCCAATGGCATCCTGGCCTGTATCAGAAATAGTGTGGCCAGCAGGAGTAGGGAAGTGATCGTGCCCCTGTACTCGGCCCTGGTGAGGCCGCACCTCGAATACTGTGTTCAGTTTTGGGCCCCTCACTACAAGAAGGACGTCGAGGTGCTGGAGCGTGTCCAGAGAAGGGCAACGAGGCTGGTGAGGGGTCTGGAGAACAAGTCTTATGAGGAGCGTCTGAGGGAACTGGGGTTGTTTAGCCTGGAGAAAAGGAGGCTGAGGGGAGACCTCATCGCTCTCTACAACTACCTGAAAGGAGGTTGTAGCGAGGTGGGGGTCGGTCTCTTCTCCCAAGTAACTAGTGACAGGATGAGAGGAAATGGCCTCAAGTTGTGCCAGGGGAGGTTTAGATTAGATGTGAGGAAAAATTTCTTTACTGAAAGAGTGGTTAAACATTGGAAGAGGCTGCCCAGGGAAGTGGTTGAGTCCCCATCCCTGGAGGCATTTAAAAGACGTGTAGATGAGGCGCTTAGGGACATGGTTTAGTGGGCATGGTGGTGTTGGGTTGACGGTTGGACTCGATGATCTTAGAGGGCTTTTCCAACCTCAATGATTCTATGATTCTATGATCCAGGAGTAAATGGCTACGGGTGCTCCTCGCTCTGGGACAGCCAGTACTTGCCTTGTAGTTCTCCCCATGGTTCTGTATCATGTACCGCACGTAGTCAATGAGGTCTCGTGAGAGCGTGTTTGACTTCTTCTCGGGGAGACTGGCCTCATATTCCATCTCTAGGCAGAGGACAGAGACACCATGAAGCAGGGGAGGGAAGCAAGCAGCACCTCAGAGGTCCCCAGCCTCTTCCCAAGATTGAGCCCTGCCAGTACTGCAGAAAGGAGGTGGCTCCGGCAGCACAGCTCCGCTGCTCGCACACACGGGGCTGCTTCCCAGCACAATCATGCAGGAAAACGAACAAGACAACAGCCCTCCGCATAGACTGCAGGCATCCAGGCCTGCGCTGCAGCGCCTCTCCAGCTTATTCCACGAGGAGTGGAGCCCTTCTGCCCAGGCTGCAGAGCGTGACTGTTCAGAGCTGCCCAGCCCACCACGAACACACGCGGGGTACTGCAGCCACAGTTTCTTGTCACCCTGGTGCTACAGACCAGCACATTTCAGAATGACAAGAGCCCTCTTCGGGCTGCAGGTAGAAATATTGCAAAAAAGGCAGCACAGGAGGGAAAAGGCAATTCATGAGGCAGAGGACACACGGGAACGGAAGATCTGCTGACCAGGCTCCCAGCTCAGCTGCGGCCTGGCTGGGAACCCCCAGCTGACTGCTGCCAGGGAGGTACTCCTCTACGAGCCCACAAGCCTGGGCAAGAAGTAACACCCTTTCCTGCCCCTGGCACAGCACAGAGATGAGAGACAAAATAACCCACAGGGCCTTGGGAGAACGCCAAATGCAATGGCAGCAGCGTGGTTCGGCAGGAAACCCGCCAAGGCTGGAGGTGGTGAAGCACTCCCTGGGGAGGACAGAAGCAGCACTGACCGTTCACCACATAGGGCTTCCGCACTATTTTCTTTCCTTGCTTCCGTCCATCGCTTTCCGCTTCCATCCCCTGTGTTAAATGAGAGAGAAGGCAACTCAGGAAAAGTCCATTTGGAAGAGAGCTGTGTCCCCATACGTTGCTCCCAAAACTCCAAACTGCTTATACAATGGCTGCAAGGACCAGGAAATCTCAGCTGGCTTAAGCAGAGCCTTATTTGCGCCATTAAGCTAGCTCGTGGGCAAGCCTGTTGCCCAAGCAATACTGTGTGAACGGAGACAAGTGACAAACAAGGTCACTCCTGTTTTTTTCATGAGTGTGACATTTCGTGGGGCCACCTTTTGCCTGGAAGCATTGCCCACCGATGCAGGCAGGCCAGGCTGGCGCTGCTGTACACAAAGAGGCTTTCTTTGTTATCAGGAGCAACTCGGCTGCAGCGTTTCCAACCCCACCTCTCTCTGGCAAGTCCCAGGAGATTGACTGATGTTATTTATACTTGTTCTAAAGTCCATTATTTCTCTGTGACACTGTAGCTTGTTCCCACGCCGGGATCTTGGCGAGAAAAGCGTATCGATAAAGATCTGAAACCTCTCCACCTACAGAGACTGATCCAGAGCCACCTGACCCGCGCCCCAAGGCGGGCTGCTCTCCACGCTGCTTTTTCCCAGCCCGGCTGCGTGTCCTGGGGGAGGCCCGACCTTCCACCCCCCTCAAAGGAGCAGCCCCAGCCGAGCCCCCGCGCCCTCCCCCGGCGGCGCACGGCCGCACTCACCAGCAGATTCTTCTTGGGGACGG